TGAGGGGAGAATGGATGGGGCCATGTATCGCGAGATCTTGGCCAACAACCTCTTTCCCTCAGTAAGAGCATTGAAGATGGGTCGTGGCTGGGTCTTCCAGCATGACAACGACCCGAAACACACAGCCAGGGCAACTAAGGAGTGGCTCCGTAAGAAGCATCTCAAGGTCCTGGAGTGGCCTAGCCACCGTATTGCCCAGCGACAGCCCCGAAACCTGAAGGATCTGGAGAAGGTCTGTATGGAGGAGTGGGCAAAAATCCCTGCTGCAGTGTGAGCAAACCTGGTCAAGACCTACAGGAAACGTATGATCTCTGTAATTGCAAACAAAGGTTTCTGTATGAAATATTAAGTTCTGCTTTTCTGATGTATCAAATACTTATGTTATGCAATAAAATGCAAATTAATTACTTAAAAATCATACAATGTGATTTTCTGGATTTTTGTTTTAGAATCCGTCTCTCACAGTTGAAGTGTACCTATGATAAAAATTACAGACCTCTACATGCTTTGTAAGTAGGAAAACCTGCAAAATCGGCAGTGTATCAAATACTTGTTCTCCCCACTGTAAACTCCAGTCGTACTTTATCAAATGCCTTTTCAAAGTCTGCTATGAATAGCAGGCCTGGTTTCCCAGATTATTCATAGTGTTCTATTGTTTCCAGTACTGTTAATATCATGTCTTTGAGCTCAAGGAAGCTTCCCTGTATTAGTGGTAAACCAGGTTGAAGTATTAACTAAAAGTGGCAGGGCCCCCTCTGCTGGTTAAAGATTGGGGTTTCCGGTGGTATGTACTAAAGCAGGGGTGTCAAACTAATGTTGCCCGGGGGCCGCATTTGGTCTTCAACGAGGTCCGGAGGGACATTTTTTTTATATTTCCTCGCCATCAAATTTTGCGTATCCATTGTTTTTGGAATTTTTGTTATTCCCCGACTGTCTAGCTTTACATTTTGGTGATTATTTGCAAGCTGGACAGTCAAGAAACGGTATAAATGTAGGTCCATTATAATTTCTAAACCGTTTCGATTTGGTTTAGTCATTTTAAAGTATATTGAGTTTGTTTTCCTCCCACGTACCGTATGTTTGATACCCCTGTCCTAAAGAGACTTTCAGTTGATCTATTCCGCTGACAATTGTTCAAGACAATAAGAAAGCAAATTTTTCTGCACTGACATACAGTACTGTAAATTAACACATTAGGAGGTTCAGTTTGAATACCATTCATTGGGATATGTAGAAAACAGCATGTGACATGCTCAAGTCAGAAAAATAAAACCATCAATTGATGTTACCATTGCATAGTTAATTGTTTGCTAGCTATGCCTTGAGGTACATGTACTGTATGCTGCTTCAAGGGCGTCAGTCAAACTACATGGAAAATAGTAGGACTGTACAGAAGACATCAAATGAAAAAAAGAACACACACATTCACGGTTTTATTGCCAACAGTCATACAGAATTATGATAATAACTCATACAGATGTAGGATCTTAATATGAGCCAGTTTGCCAGTGAATTATTATGTGGATTATAATTAATGGACATTTATATAGGGGTTGATACATTTTTCTAAGGGAAATCAAGTCTGAAATTTCAAAGTGGAAATTACAAACTTCAGATGCCTCTTTAAAACCTCAAATACACTCTAAGATTGACATTTCCTGCATTGCAGGAAGGTTCTACTGCAACAGGTGATCAAATTAAGATCCTACGTCTGTACAACCAAAGATAAAATCTGTAAACATTGTTTGGACTAATTTTTTTACTTGTTACAAAATGAGTTTTTGTGATCCTTCTGACAAAAAAAAATATCATATTCAGAATTTGGAAACTAGAGAGAGAGAGAAAGGAAAAACGTTGAATCTCAAGCAGCAACACTCAAGCAGTACTGCAAAATACAACTCCTAGGATGCGTCCCAAATGGCACCCTATTCCCTAAATAGTGCACTACTTTTTAACAGGGCCCATAGGGCCTAAAGTAGTGCACTATATAGGGAATAGGGTGACATTTGGGACGCATTCCTAATGAACAGCAGGGCATGCCCATGAAGAAGGTCCAGCTATCGTACTTTGAAGAAGAAAAAACACCATTGGTACAAATAAAAGGCACATTTTCATCCACAGAAAACTGGAAAAGCCATGTTCTAGTTTGACTCCCTACCTAGAGTATGTGAACTTTGAGTTGACTCACAATTCTTTGTTGAGTTAATAAAAATGTTTTTATGCCAAGCTATGTAATTGATTCATGTAAGATTACTTGTTTGAAGGTTTGAGTAATATGTGTGGATCTCCATTCAGGATTTAGCCTAAGTGTTTTGGGAATCCATTCTTCAATTTGGTACAGATCTGCCTAACAAAATAAATTATTGGTCTATTTTGTCTGTTCATAAACTGCCACAAAAGTAATGGGCTGTTAGAAATGTATCGAGACTCAAAGTTCATGAAACTGCTTTAGGCTATTCAGTAACTATCACATTTTGATAGGGAGGTTATCAAATAATGTCATAACATTGCTATACTCCCCTTTACAAATCAGAGTGAGACTTCTATTATCTATTATTATTCTATCTATTACATTTACATCATTTAGCAGACGCTCTTATCCAGAGCGACTTACAGTTAGTAAGTGCATACATTTGTATTTTTTTTATACTGGCCCCCTGTGGGAATCGAACCCACAACCCTGGCGTTGCAAACGCCATGCTCTACCAACTGAGCTACACGGGGCTAAACGTATTTTATTTTTAGCTTCTCATTGAACCATTTAGATAAATGTGGCCTATGCAATGACTGTAAAAACTGTTCCAAATATGTTTTGTCATTTAATGTATAGATTTCAAGTGGTTTTGAATAAGTTGTACCATACAGCTCCAATATTAATTATTGTTACGTTATTACAATAGTTACATGACAAATACACACTGAGTGTACAAAACATTAAGAACAATATTGAGTTGCACCAGCTTTTGACCCCAGACCAGCCTCAATTCATCAGGGCATGGACTCTACAAGGTGTCGAAAGCATTCCACAGGGATGCTGGCCCATTTTGACTCCAATGCTTCCCACAGTTGTGTCACGTTGGCTGAATGTCCTTTGGATGGTGGACTATTCTTGAAATGCATGGGGAAATGTTGAGAGTGAAAAACCCAGCAGCGTTGTAGTTCTTGGTACACTCAAACCAGTGCACCTGGTACCTACTACCCTACCCCGTTCAAAGGCACTTCAATCTTTTGTCTTGCCCATTCGCCCTCTGAATGGCACACATACACAATCCATGTCTCAATTGTCTCAAGGCTTAAAAATCCTTCTTTAACCTGTCTCTTCCCCTTCATCTACACTGATTGAAGTGAATTTAACAAGTGACATTGATAAGGGATCATAGCTTTCACCTGGATTCACCTGGTCAGTCTATGTCATGGATAGAGCAGGTGTTCCTAATGTTTTGTACACTCAGTGTATAACATGTATGCTATATAACCAGAGAGGAAGAGGCGAAGCGAGACGGTTTACTCCACCTAAAATCTGTCCACGAAAATAAGACCATGAAGTGAGGAATTTTTGTATGGAGGTCAATGAGAAAGTGTGTTGAATTTGGTCAACAAAGATTTGAATTGCTATTTTGCTACGAGAGGCTTATTTGATTGAATAGAAGTTTCGTAATGGTTTGGTTGTTAAGAATGCACTGATATAGGTGGACACACTTGGCATTTCGGCAACTTTGAAAAAAAGAACTTTATGTCAGAGTTGTGCCTGTTGTTCACTTATGTATCTGCCCTCTCATTAGCTAGAGAGGGTCCATCTGATCTAGTCTCCTCTTGCCTGCCTTCCATCTTTAAGGACATATTTCCATTGTTAGAGAGGTCACTCGACCATCTTGTCAATATAATAGATAATCTTTGATAACATGATAAATATAATTGAATTATTCCTAGTTTTGAATATTTAATCTAAATGCATAGGCCAAATTAACTGTAGAATCTATATGCTTTTCTTTTATTGATGACCATTCTGTGATGTCAATAGACCTATAGAGATCCATACATTGAGAAATAACAATTAATGTATAATCAATATTATTAAGAGAAAGTGATCTAAAAATGGTACTATTCGAATTACAGGTGCGGCAGGTGAAATCAAGAGGATCTTTACATACCTCCCTTCAGTACAGTGATTTACGTTAAAACACGTTGGTGAATTGTCCTCAATACAATAACACAGATGATTTTTTAACTTCTGATTGTGCTATTCATTTGTGATAATATTTTGTCAAATAATACACTTTTAAAGTTCACCATTAAGCCATAAACGCTAGCAATTATGTGAAGAATATTCATTTGCATGATCGAAGCACCAAACTAGTTGACTTACTACACACCCAGTTTAAAGAAGGATCCAGAAACCAATTAAGAAATAATCTGTTGAAAAGCAATAAATAGCTGTTGATTTTTACAGTGTGAGCATACACAAGCACCTCCGAAGGGGGTTCAAGGTCTATGAAATGTCCTCATGAACAGTTAGATTTTTCAAGTCATGCAACTGCAGTGACACAAAAAGAATGAAAAAATGTCAGTGGATGAATCTCAATAATATTACCTTGATTCCTCACATCCTCCTTCCTCGTCTCCTTATCAAAGCACATTGTAGCAGAAGATCCGAGGTTCCTCCCCTCTGATCTTTAGCCTCGTAAAACCAGAGTGAAACAGAATGTGGGTTACACAAGGCTATCATTTCTTGGATGTTGATTAAGGCAGCCCTCCACACCTCTCTGATTCAGAGGGGTTGGGTTAAATGCAGAAGACACATTTCAGTTGAATGCATTCGGTTGTACAACTGACTAGGTATCCCCCTTTCCCTTTCTCCTCCAATGCATTTTGAAGAGGCAAGGAGAGAGGACGCGAGGAATCAAGGAAATACAATTGAGATTCACATAGTATCTTTAAAGCCATGTTGACAGCACTATAAAAAGTTGCGACCCCTGACCCCAACACACTGTGACTACTATAAAGCTAAACATATTCAAGTCTTTAGTTCCCATAAAGCAGATTCATTACAGCCTGGTCCCAAACCCATTTGTGCTGTCTTGCCAACTCCTATGGGCTATGGTCACTGTCATTGTCCAGCCCACAAGTGTTGGCAAGAGAGCACAAACAGATCAGTGACCAGGCTAGATTCATAAGTGACCCAAAGTGAATGTCATCACGCTATAGCTGCGATAAAGGACAAATAATCCTAAAATAGTTTCAAATTCAAAAGCATTTTCAAATGGTTGTTCTCCTCTACGTAACTCTTACTTACCAAAGACTGTGTAAATCTGGTTGTGCTTGATACACAAAATGAAAATTTCTGGTTTTTCTAAAATACAATTTTCTTTCCCCTCCTTGAGGTCGATTTGCACTTCATCATCTAAACTACTAACAGTAGTTCTTTTTTGTTTTTTAAACACCAAATCAACATATATGTCCCAAATGCACCTATATGCCTAAAAAATATAGCATTTCAATCATCACATCAAAATAATAATAGTTATATAAATAATTTTTATCAGCAAACCTCTTCTTTCTCATCATCCTTTGCGGCCCGAGAGTTTGCCCAGCCACAAACCGCTTCCAAGAAACTGTCATCATCGTTAAGTAAGTTTTTCAACCATAATATATTCTAGTTTCAGGTTTTCAGGAGGGATTGGAGGTTTCAGTTTCAGAACTCCATCTTCTATCAGGCAATGCGCGTAGATCGTCACTGTTTCCTGTTGCCTACAGGCTGATTCAGACACAGTTCACTTCCTGCAGACACTATGGGCAAGCTGTTGTCACGGTGATGGTTTATCAGGTGACTGATGCTGTCAAATATGTGATCTTTTGTCCGTACCTTTAAAAAGATAGAGTAAAGTAGCATACAGGCAAAATATATCTCTGTCTCTTTCTCTCCTTACGCATTGCTTTCTCTCTTATCTCTCTTTTTCTGTGTATCACACTCATTCGCAGACTCTCTCTCTCTCGCTCCCTCACTCTCTCATGCACGCACGCACATGCACCCGCACGCGCGCACGCAAGCAAGCACGCACACACACACACTTCCCCCACCCACCCCTCCCTCGCTCCCTGCTCACCGTGCCCTCTGGGTCCACCAGCAGTAGGTGTTTGGCCAGTCCATTGTGCATGCCCGTCAGTACGTACGACCCAGGGTTGGTGGTGCTCATCCTAACCAGAAAGTCTCCATCATCCAGCAGTAGTGTCTCTGCGTCCCGTCGGCTCATCTCTCCGTGGTACCAGGACTGACCCTCCAACTCATCCTGGGCCTTGAAGGAAGCTGAGCGCACCAACAGGGGGCTGGAGTTATCCGCAGACCCAGCCTTGTGCAGGGCAGGGACTGCTGACTGGGTCAGGATAGCATCCTCCAAAGGCTCTGTGGTGGTGGGATAAAGAAAACATGTAGTGAAAGATCATGAGCAGCGAGCACAATATGATGAAAATAGGCCTGTGCAGATACAAAGGGGAGCATGGACAATGTAAGCCATATAATGTATGATAATGTATAATAATAATAATAATAATATAATATGCCATTTAGCAGACGCTTTTATCCAAAGCAACTTACAGTCATGCGTGCATACATTTTTGTGTATGGGTGGTCCCGGGGATCGAACCCACTACCTTGGAGTTACAAGCGCCGTGCTCTACCAGCTGAGCTACAGAGGACCACTATGGTGAGATGTGCTATGCTATACAGTATATCTGTGTAGTTATGCTTTAATACCTCTTTAGTTTTATTTCTGGAAATAATTACACCACGAGTAGGCACTTGGCAGTAATTGAAATATCCCATACGGAAAAGTCATATATGGCCATACAGTGCATTTGGAAAGTATTCAGACCCCTTGACTTTTTCCACAGCCTTATTCTAAAGTGGATTAAATTGCTTTTTTCCCTCATCAATCTACACACAATGCCTCATATGAACAAAGCAAACAGGTTTTTAGAAAATGTAGCAAATGTATTACAAATAAAAAAACGGAAATATCAAATTTACATAAGTATTCAGACCCTTTACTCAGTACTTTGTTGAAGCACCTTTGCGAGCGATTACAGCCTTGAGTATTCTTGGTTATTACGCTACAAGCTTGGCACACCTGTATTTGTGGGGTTTCTACCATTCTTCTCTGCAGATCCTCTGAAGCTCTGTCAGGTTGGATAGGGAGCGTCGCTGCACAGCTATTTTCAGTCCGGGCTCTGGCTAGGCCACTCAAGGACATTCAGAGACTTGTCCCGAAGCCACTTCTGTGTTGTCTTGGCTGTGTGCTTAGGGTCATTGTCCTGTTGGAAGGTGAACCTTCACCCCAGTCTGAGGTCCTGAGTGCTCTGGAGCAAGTTTTCATCAAGGATTTCTCGGTACTTTGCTCCGTTCATCTTTCCCTCGATCCTGACTAGTCTCCCAGTCCCTGCCACTAAAAACCATCCCCACAGCACGATGCTGCCACCACCATGCTTCACCGTAGGGATGGTGCCAGGTTTCCTCCAGACGTGACGCTTGGCATTCAGGCCAAAGAGTTCAATCTTGGTTTCATCAGAACAGAGAATCTTGTTTCTCATAGTCTGAGAGTCCTTAGGTGCCTTTTGGCAAACTCCAAGTAGGCTGTCATGTGACTTTTACTGAGGAGTGGCTTCCGTCTGGCCACTCTACCATAAATGCCTGATTGGTGGAATGCTGCAGAGATTGTTGTCCTTCTGGAAGGTTCTCCCATCTCCACAGAGGAACTCTGGAGCTCTGTTAGAGTGACCATCGGGTTCTTGGTCACCTCCCTGACCAAGGCCCTTCTCTCCCGATTGATCTGTTTGGACGGGCGGCCAGCTCTAGGAAGAGTCTTGGTGGTTCCAAACTTCTTCCATTTAAGAATGATGGAGGCCACTGTGTTCTTGGGGACCTTCAATGCTGCTGACATTTTTTGGCACCCTTCCCCAGATCTGTGCCTTGACACAACATGTCTCAGAGCTCTACAGACAATTCCTTCGACCTCACGTGGGACCTTATATAGACAGGTGTATGCCTTTCCAAATCATGTCCAATCAATTGAATTAACCACAGGTGGACTCCAATCAAGTTGTAGAAATATCTCAAGGATGATCAATGGAAACAGGATGCACCTGAGCTCGAGTCTCAAAGCAAAGGCTCTGAATACTTATGTAAATAAGGTATTTCTGTTTTATTTTTTTATTTTTGTGTAGATTGATGAGGATTATTATAGTTTTTTATCCATTTTAGAATAAGGCTGTAACGTAACAAAATGTGGAAAAAGTCAATGGGTCTGAATACTTTCCGAATGCACTGTATATGGCCTTATATTTCAAAGAACGCAACATGTATTTTAAAATACACTACCATTCAAAGGTTTGGGGTCACTTAGAAATGTCCTTGATTTCGAAAGAAAAGCAATTATTTTGTCCATTAAAATAACATCTAATTGATCAGAAATACAGCGTAGACATTGTTAATGTTGTAAATGGCTATTGTAGCCGGAAACAGCTGATTTTTTATGGAATATCTACATAGGCGTACAGAGGCCCATTATCAGCAACCATCAATGGCACGTTGAGTTTTCTAATCCAAGTTTATCATTTTAAAAGGCGAATTGATCATTAGAAAACCCTTAGGTTAGGTTAGGTTAGCACAGCTGAAAACTGTTGTGCTGATTATAGAAGCAATAAAACTGGCCTTCTTGAGACTAGTTGAGTATCTGGAGCATCAGCAATTGTGGGTTCGATAACGGGCTCAAAATGGCCAGAAACAAATAACTTTCTTCTGAAACTCGTCAGTCTATTCTTGTTCTGAGAAATGAAGGCTAAGTAATTTACATATATACTATATTTACATACATATTTTACTTCAGTAAATTCTTCACAGATTGTAAAGGAGGGGGAAGAATACAGATAAAGAACCTACTATAACCAATATGTCAACACACGGCCCGCATCCATTGAGAAATAAATGTAAGGGGATTTAATTCACCTCTACATTATAATTATAAGGAGCAATGTGGCATACATGTTATTTGTTTGTCAAATATATCTGAATATCTGTCACGTCTACTCCACTCCCCCTCTCCGGTGCTCGACGTCACCAGTTTACTAACCACCGGTCCTGGCAACCTATCATTACGCAGACCTGGCAACCCTCATTACGCATCACTACCCTGATTACTCCCCCTTTATCTAGCACTCCCTAGCATCACTCTTCAGGTAGTATTGGTTATGTTTTCCTTGTTAGACGTGTCTCTTGTTTTGTTTTCGATCCAGGTTCGTTTTCCTTAAACTCACACTGCACTTGCTTCCAGACTCCCTGTCTCTACGTTACAGAATACTATCTCAAAAATATGGAAGCAGCAGAAGAGATATATATACAGTGAGGGAAAAAATATTTGATCCCCTGCTGATTTTGTACGTTTGCCCACTGACAAAGACATGATCAGTCTATAATTTTAATGGTAGGTTTATTTGAACAGTTAGAGACAGAATAACAACAAAAAAATCCAGAAAAACGCATGTCAAAAATGTTATAAATTGATTTGCATTTTAATGAGGGAAATAAATATTTGACCCCTCTGCAAAACATGACTTAGTACTTGGTGGCAAAAACCTTGTTGGCAATCACAGAGGTCAGACGTTTCTTGTAGTTGGCCACCAGGTTTGCACACATCTCAGGAGGGATTTTGTTCCACTCCTCTTTGCAGATCTTCTCCAAGTCATTAAGGTTTCGAGGCTGACGTTTGGCAACTCGAACCTTCAGCTCCCTCCACAGATTTTCTATGGGATTAAGGTCTGGAGACTGGCTAGGCCACTCCAGGACCTTAATGTGCTTCTTCTTGAGCCACTCCTTTGTTGCCTTGGCCGTGTGTTTTGGGTCATTGTCGGGCGCTGCAGGATTTCAGTCCTTCGCGGCGTAGTGTGTTACCAATTGTTTTCTTGGTGACTATGGTACCAGCTGCCTTGAGATCATTTGACAAGATCCTCCCGTGTAGTTCTGGGCTGATTCCTCACTGTTCTTATGATTATTGCAACTCCACGAGGTGAGATCTTGCATGGAGCCCCAGGCAGTTATTTTGTGTTTCTTCCATTTGCGAATAATCACACCAACTGTTGTCACCTTCTCACCAAGCTGCTTGGCGATGGTCTTTTAGCCCATTCCAGCCTTGTGTAGGTCTACAATCTTTGTCCTGACATCCTTGGAGAGCTCTTTGATCTTGGCCATGGTGGAGATTTTGGAATCTGATTGATTGATCGCTTCTGTGGACAGGTGTCTTTTATACAGGTAACAAGCTGAGATTAGGAGCACTCCCTTTAAGAGTGTGCTCCTAATCTCAGCTCGTTACCTGTATAAAAGACACATGGGAGCCAGAAATCTTTCTGATTGAGAGGGGGTCAAATACTTATTTCCCTCATTAAAATGCAAATCAATTTATTACATTTTTGACATGCGTTTTTCTGGATTTTTTTGTTGTTATTCGGTCTCTCACTGTTCAAATAAACCTACCATTAAAATTATAGACTGATCATTTCTTTGTCAGTGGGCAAATGTACAAAATCAGCAGGGGATCAAATACTTTTTTCCCTCACTGTATATATATATATATATATTATATATATACCAGACGGTCGGCGAACAGGGACACCTACTCCACCAACACCACGATCAGCTGGCCCAACTGCGTTCGACTATGGATGACCTAACCCGAAGTCCACTGGGGCAGAGGGACAGACCTGTGATCATCCGTCTCCCAGTGTAGGCGTGTGTATTCCTTCATCGTTTTCCGCCAAACCCTTCCTGGTTTATATTTCACTGGCTGGCTGTCTCTCAGGTGTTGTCTTTACGGCTCTAGTGGACTGGTGCCGCGGGGAATTTCATCGACCAGGCCCTCGTCTCCTCACTCAACATCACTGCATACCCACTCTCCTCTCCTTGTTCGGTCCAAGCCCTGGAAAAAACGACCGTTGGGATCCGGAACTATTACGCACGTCACCACACCACTCACTCTCACCGTAGGACCCAAGCACCAGGAAAGCCTTCACTTCCTCATTACCTCCACACCTGTGCACAAAGTCATCCTCGGCCTCCCGTCGATTCAACTTCATAAACCCACCATCTCCTGGTCTAAGATGAGAATCACCGCCTGGTGACCAGGATGTCGAAGGACCTGCTTTCCCACACCCTGTGGTTCCACGTCGGTGGAGGGTTCCGTGAGTGTCCTTCAGCCCATCAATCGGTCCTCCTGTATCGTTGGCCCCGTTTTGTGGGACGTAGATGTGGACATCCGCCAAGCTCTGGTGAGGGAACCCGATCCTGCGGTTTTATCCCTCTCTTTGGTCTCCCTACCACTCTCCAGGTCGCTGAGGCACTGTTCCAGCAGGTCTTCCGGCACTATGGCCTTCCGGAGGACAACATCCCCGACCGTGGCCCCCAATTCACGTCACGGGTATGGAAAGCCTTCATGGAGAAGCTGGGGGTCACGGTCCGCCTCACTTCCCGGTACCGGCCTCAGTCTAATGGGCAGGTGGAGGAGAGGATGAACCAGGAGCTGGGGAAGTTACTGAGGAGTCACTACCAGGGGGAGTGGGCCCGATTCCTTCCCTGGATGGTGTACGCCCAGAATTCTTTGCATCACTCCTCCACCGGGCTGACTCCCTTCCAGTTTGTTCTGGGTTATCAGCCGGCCCTGGCTCCGTGGACCCCGAGACAGACCAAAGCTCCTGCGGTGGACGAGTGGTTCAGGCGCGTGAGGCTCCAGCGCCAGAAAGAGCAGGCGGATCACCACCGCAGTGAGGCTCCCGTGTTCCATCCTGGTGATCGCGTCTGGCTCTCCACCAGGAACCTCCCACTCCGCCTGCCCTGTAAGAAGCTGAGCACCCGGTTTGTGGGGCCGTTAAAGGTTCTCCGGAGGGTCAACGAGATGACATAAAGATTACAGCTCCCCACTAACTAGCGAATCTCACCCTCTTTTCATGTCTCCCTCCTCAGGCCGGTGGTTCCTGGTGCCCTGGCTGAAGCCGTCCCCCACAACACCCCTACTTCTCCCCTGGACGTTGAGGGAGGTCCCGCCTATGCCATCAGATCCCTCCTGGACTCCAGACGTCATGGGGGTCGGCTCCAGTACCTTGGGGACTGGGAGGGGTACGGTCCAGAGGAGCGGTGTTGGATTCCGGTGGACGACATTCTAGATCCCAATATCATCTGAGATTTCCACGCCCTCGGGCTGTGGGGAGTTACTGTCACGTCTACTCCCGCTCCCCCTCTCCGGCACTCAACATCGCCGGTTTACTAACCACCGGTCCTGGCAACACATCGTTACGCACACCTGGCAACCCTCATTACGCACACCTGCGCCTCATCATGAGGCACACCTGGACTCCATCACTACCCTGATTACTCTCCCTTTATCTAGCACTCCCTAGCATCACTCTTCAGGTAGTATTGGTTATGTTTTCCTTGTTAGACGGTTCTCTTGTTTTGTTTTGGTTCCATGTTCGTTTTCATTAAACTCACACTGCACTTGCTTCCAGACTCCCTGTGTCTAAGTTACAATATCCATATAACAATTATAAATATAAACCTCTGGTTGGGGGAAGGTTTTCACCGTGTCAGTGTCCTCAGAGATACAGTTGAAGTCGGAGGTTTACATACACCTTAGCCAAATATATTTAAACTAAGTTTTTCACAATTCCTGACATTTAATCCTAGTAAAAATTACCTGTTTTAGGTCAGTTAGGATCACCACTTTATTTTAAGAATGTGAAATGTATAATTGTAGAAAGAATGATTTACTTCAGCTTTTATTTCTTTAATCACATTCCCAGTGGGTCAGAAGTTTACATACACTCAATTAGTATTTGGTAGCATTGCCTTTAAATTGTTTAACTTGGGTCAAACGTTTCGGGTAGACTTCCACAAGCTTCCCACAATAAGTTGGGTGAATTTTGGCCAATTCCTGAGTCAGGTTTGTAGGCCTCCTTGCTCGCTCACACGCTTTTTCAGTTCTGCCCACACATTTTCTATAGGATTGAGGTCAGGGCTTTGTGATGGCCACTCCAATACCTTGACTTTGTTTTCCTTAAGCCATTTTGCCACAACTTTGGAAGTGTGCTTGGGGTCATTGTCTATTTGGAAGACCATTTTGCGACCAAGCTTTAACTTCCTGACTGATGTCTTGAGATGTTGCTTCAAAATATCCACATAATTTTCCTTCCTCATGATGCCATCTATTTTGTGAAGTGCACCAGTCCCTCATGCAGCAAAACACCCCCACAGCATGATGCTACCCCTGCGCTTCACGGTTGGGATGGTGTTCTTCGGCTTGCAAGCATTCCCCTTTTTCCTCCAAACATAACGATGGTCATCATGGTCAAACAATTATATTTTTGTTTCATTATACTAGAGGACATTTCTCCAAAAAGTACTATCGTTGTCCCCACGTGCAGTTGCAAACCATAGTCTGGCTTTTTTATGGCGTTTTTGGAGCAGTGGCTTCTTCCTTGCTGAGCGGCCTTTCAGGTTATGTCGATATAGGACTCGTTTTACTGTGGATATAGACACTTTTGTACCTGTTTCCTCCAGCATCTTCACAAGGTCCTTTGCTGTTGTTCTGGGATTGATTTGCACTTTTCGCACCAAAGTACGTTAATCTCTAGGAGACATAACGCGTCTCCTTCCTGAGCGGTATGACTGCTGCGTGGTCCCATGGTGTTTATACTTGCGTGCTATTATTTGTACAGATGAACGTGGTACCTTCAGGCGTTTGGAAATTGCTCCCAATGATGAACCAGACTTGTGGAGGTCTACAGTTTTTTTTATGAGGTCTTGGCTGATTTCTTTTGATTTTCCCATGATGTCAAGCAAAGAGGCACTGAGTTTGAAGGTAGGCCTTGAAATACATCCACAGGTACACCTCCAATTGACTCAAATGATGTCAATTAGCCTATCAGAAGCTTCTAAAGCCATGACATCCTTTTCTGGAATTTTACAAGCTGTTTAAAGGCACAGTGAACTTAGTGTAAGTAAACTTCTGAACCACTGGAATTGTGATACAGTTAATTATAAGTGAAATAATCTGTCTGTAAACAAATGTTAGAAAAATTACTTGTGTCATGCACAAAGTAGATGTCCTAACCGACTTGCCAAAACTATAGTTTGTTAACAAGAAATGTGTGGAGTGGTTGAAAAACTGGTCTTAATGACTCCAACCTAAGTGTATGTAAACTTCTGACTTCAACTGTATCTTCCTTTTGTCTTGGATATGACATAGTGTTATTATAACACAAAGCAGATCCCTGGTGGAAACAATAACCAGATCACCTCTGTAATTATAATAATGTCTCCTGGTTGGAGTAGGATAATGTTATTATTAGTGTTAGCAACTTGCGATTAGCAGTTAGTTTCTTCTTCTTATAGATGTTAAATAGGAATATGCTAGTTATTAGCATTAGCAATGTTAGCGGTTAGTTCCTTCTTCTTATAAATTTTTTACATTTTAGTCATTTAGCAGACACTCTTATCCAGAGCGACTTACAGTTAGTGAGTGCATATATTTTCATACTGCACCCCGTGGGAAACGAACCCACAACCCTGGCGTTGCAAGCGCCATGCTCTACCAACTGAGCTACAGGGGACATGTTCAGCCAGTCCCAAATCACTCTCTATCCCTCCCCCTTGGCCCTGACTCCTCGATTGTGTCGTCCTATGTGTGGTCTTCTGTAGCTCAGTTGGTAGAGCATGGCTCTTGCAAAGTCAGGATAGTGGGCTCGATTCCCATCCATACATAAAGAATGTTAATACGCATGACTGTAAGTCGCTTTGGATAAAAGCGTTTGCTATATGGCATATATTATACAGTATATTAATATTATTATACATTGATTTTAGCATGTCTGGATAGGTATAGGCAGTGTAATGGAAACGCTTCTACCATATTTATTTCACCTTCAGATCAGCAAACATTGAAGGGTTAGGGCCAAAGGGATGGGTAAAGATCGTTTTGGGACTGGCTCATTGGCTAGGCATATGCCAGTGTTATTAGCAATTAGCGGTTAGTTTCATTATCTTATTGATGTTGAAAAGGAATATGCTAGTGTTATTAGCATTAGCAGTTAGTTTATTCTTTTTATAGATGTTGAATATGAATATGCTAGTGCTATTAGCATTAGCAATGTAAGCAGTAGGTTAGTTCTTCTTACTCATGTCGAACAGGTCTTTCATGAGTCTGTCTTTGGCTGCTGTGCCCTCTGCCCCCTCGGCTGCCATGCTGTCCTGTTCAGCCTGCAGCGCAGCCAGCAGCTGGGCGTCGATCTGCTGGGTGTTTACGTACGTAGGCGCATCCCCCGTTTTTGGTACTGGACTCTTCCCGACGGGCAGACTGTAGATGTCCCATGATCCTAGACATAAAAGCAAAAGTTAAAAGCAAAAAGTTATAAGCAAGAAAGACTAATTTCAATTTATGTGATCTGAAAAGATAAGATCGTCTGCTAAATGACTTAAATGTAAATGTTGAAGATTATGGACAATAAAGTCTCTCTCTTCTTACTTGGGAGGAGTTATCAGTTAGTAAAAACAATATAAGATATAAACATTGTGAACTAACAAAGTTATGTGAGAGAAAGAGAGAGAGAGAGAGAGAGAGAGAGAGAGAGAGATGGGAGTTTATGATCAAGATCAAGAGAGACCAGAGACCAGCAGTGGTGTAAAGTACTTAAGTCAAAATACTTTAAAGTACTACTTGAGTCGTTTTTTTTGGTATCTGTACTTTACTTTACTATTTATATTTTTGACAACTTTTACTTTTACTTCACAACATTCCTAAAGAAAATAATGTACTTTTTACTCCATACATTTTCCCTGGCACCCAAAGTATGTGTTACATTTTGAATGGTTAGCAGGACAGGAACATTTTCAAAATTCACGCACTTATCAAGAGAACATCCCTGGTCATCCCTACTTCCTCTGATCTGGCCAACTCACCAAACACACATGCTTAGTTTGTAAATTATGTCTGAGTATTGGAGTGTGCCCCTGGCTATCCATAAATTAAAAAACAAGAAAATGGTGCCATCTGGTTTGCTTAATATAAGGAATTTGAAATGATATATACTTTTACTTTTACTTTTGATATTTAAGTATATTTAAAACCAAATACTTTTAGACTTTTACTCAGGTAGTATTTTACTTGGTGACTTTCACTTTTACTTTAGTCATTTTCTATTAAAGTATCTTTACTTTATGTATGACAATTGGGTACTTTGTCCACCACTGGAGACCAGAGACAGAGAGAGAGACAGAGATCCTCTCTTACCCTGTTGGACCAGTATCCCAGTAGGCCTCCTGTCCTCTCCCCAGCTCTCTCCACAGTGTCTGCCCTGGTAGTAAGTCTGGTCCACCCCAGCCCGTGGAGCCTGCTGCTGGAGAGAAACAGACAGGAAGAACAACAGAATTTAGTAAATAAAAATAAAAAATACCACCTCTTCAGCATGCTCTTTATTCCTTCCTTACTTTCTTCCTTAGCAGTATCTATCTCATCCATCACTGGGAAGCAAATCAAATCCCAAAGGCTAACAGTATGTATTTCTAGCCCGTGATGACATATGTAGGCTCTGTGGGAGGATGACGTAGGATGGATGAGGTAGATGTAGATTGGACAACCTGGGAATTCCGGTATCCCAAAGTAGTGTATTTCTAGCTGATGATGATGTACGTATGCCTCATGTTGATTTGTGTTACTGTGTGGCCCAGTTGGTAAGAGTGCGACACCAGCAATGACAAGAGAGTGGATTCAAGTCCAACAGGGATCACATACTTACAGTGCATTCGGAAAGTATTCAGACCCCTTGACTTTTTCCACATTTTGTTACATTACAGACTTATTCTAAAATTGATTAAATTGTTTTTTTCCCTCGTCAATCTACAGTCATGGTTAAAAGTTTTGAGAATGACACAAGTACTGGTCTTCACAAAGTTCGCTGCTTCAGTGTTATGAGATATTTTTGTCAGATGTTTCTATCGTATACTGAAGTATAATAACAAGCATTCCATAAGTGTCAAAGGCTTTTATTGACAATTACATTAAGTTTATGCAAAGAGTCAATATTTGCAGTGTTGACCCTTCTTTTTGAAGACCTCTGCAATCCGCCCTGGCATGCTGTCAATTAACTTCTGGGCCACATCCTGACATTCTTGCATAATCAATGCTTGGAGTTTGTCAGAATTTGTGGGTTTTTGTTTGTCCACCCGCCTCTTGAGGATCGACCACAAGTTCTCAATGGGATTAAGGTCTGCGGAGTTTCCTGGCCATGGACCCAAAATGTTGATGTTTTGTTCCCCGAGCCACTTAGTTATCACTTTTGCCTTATGGCAAGGTCCATCATGCTGGAAAAGGCATTGGTCGTCACCAAACTGTTCTTGGATAGTTGGGAGAAGTTGCTCTCGGAGGATGTGTTGGTACCATTCTTTATTCATGGCTGTGTTCTTAGGCAAAATTGTGAGTGAGCCCACTCCCTTGGCTGAGAAGCAACCCCACACATGAATGGTCTCAGGATGTTTTACTGTTGGCATGACAAAGGACTGATGGTAGCGCACACCTTGTCTTCTCCGGACAAGGTGTTTTCCGGATGCCCCAAACAATCGGAAAGGGGATTCATCAGAGAAAATGACTTTACCCCAGTCCTCAGCAGTCCAATCCCTGTACCTTTTGCAGAATATAAGTCTGTCCCTGATGTTTTTCCTGGAGAGAAGGAACTTCTTTGCTGCCCTTCTTGACACCAAACCATCCTCCAAAAGTCTTCGCCTCACTGTGCATGCAGATGCACTCACACCTGCCTGCTGCCATTCCTGAGCAAGCTCTGCACTGGTGGTGCCCCGATCCCGCAGCTGAATCAACTTTAGGAGACGGTCCTGGCGCTTGCTGGACTTTCTTGGGCGTCCTGACGCCTTCTTCACAACAATTGAACCTCTCTCCTTGAAGTTCTTGATGATCCGATAAATGGATGATTTAGGTGCAATCTTACTAGCAGCAATATCCTTGCATGTGAAGCCCTTTTTGTGCAAAGCCCTCCTTTTAAAGCTTCCAGTCTGTTATTCTAACTCAATCAGCATGACAGAGTGATCTCCAGCCTTGTCCTCGTCAACACTCTCACCTGTGTTAATGAGAGAATCACTGACATGATGTCAGCTGGTCCTTTTGTGGCAGGGCTGAAATGCAGTGGAAATGTTTGTTTGGGATTTAGTTCATTTTCATGGCAAAGAGGGACTTTGCAATTAATTGAGGGGAAAAAAGTATTTGATCCCCTGCTGATTTTGTACGTTTGCCCATTGACAAAGAAATGATCAGTCTATAATTTTAATGGTAGGTTTATTTGAACAGTGAGAGACAGAATACCAAACACAAAATCCAGAAAAACGCATGTCAAAAATGTTATAAATTGATTTGCATGTTAATGAGGAAAATAAGTATTTGACCCCTCTGCAAAACATGGCTTAGTACTTGGTGGCAAAACCCTTGTTGGCAATCAGAGGTCAGACATTTCTTGTAGTTGGCCACCTGGTTTGCACACATGGAGGGATTTTGTCCCACTCCTCTTTGCAGATCTTCTCCAAGTCATAAAGGTTTCGAAGCTGACGTTTGGCAACTCGAACCTTCAGCTCCCTCCACAGATTTTCTATGGGATTAAGGTCTGGAGACTGGCTAGGCCACTCCAGGACCTTAATGTGCTTCTTCTTGAGCCACTCCTTTGTTGCCTTGGCCGTGTGTTTTGGTTCATTGTCATGCTGGAATACTCATCCACGACCCATTTTCAATGCCAAGGCTGAGGGAAGGAGGTTCTCACCCAAGATTTGACGGTACATGGCCCCGTCCATCGTCCCTTTGGGGGTGAAGTTGTCCTGTCCCCTTAGCAGAAAAACACCCCCAAAGCATAATGTTTCCACCTCTATGTTTGATGGTGGGGATGGTGTTCTTGGGGTCATAGGCAGCATTCCTCCACCTCCAAATACGGCAAGTTGAGTTGATGCCAAAGAGCTCCATTTTGGTCTCATCTGACCACAACACTTTCACCCAGTTCTCCTCTGAATCATTCAGATGTTCATTGGCAAACTTCAGACGGGCCTGTATATGTGCTTTCTTGAGCAGAGGGACCTTTCGGGCGCTGCAGGATTTCAGTCCTTCACGGCATAGTGTGTTACCAATTGTTTTCTTGGTGACTATGGTCCCAGCTGCCTTGATTTCATTGACAAGATCCTCCCGTGTAGTTCTGGGCTGATTCCTCACCGTTCTCATGATAATTGCAACTCCACGAGGTGAGATCTTGCATGGAGCCCTAGGCCGAGGGAGATTGACAGTTCTTTTGTGTTTCTTCCATTTGCGAATAATCGCACCAACTGTTGTCACCTTCTCACCAAGCTGCTTGGCGATGGTCTTGTAGTCCATTCCAGCCTTGTGTAGGTCTACAATCTTGTCCCTGACATCCTTGGAGAGCTCTTTGGTCTTGGCCATGGTGGAGAGTTTGGAATCTGATTGATTGATTGCTTCTGTGGACAGGTGTCTTTTATACAGGTAACAAACTGAGATTAGGAGCACTCCCTTTAAGAGTGTGCTCCTAATCTCAGCTCGTTACCTGTATAAAAGACACCTGGGAGCCAGAAATCTTTCTGATTGAGAGGGGGTCAAATACTTATTTCCCTCATTAAAATGCAAATCAATTTATAACCTTTTTCACATGCGTTTTTCAGGATTTTTTGTTGTTGTTATTCTGTCTCTCACTGTTCAAATAAACCTACCATTAAAATTATAGACTGATAATTTCTTTGTCAGTGGGCAAACGTACAAAATCAGCAGTGGATCAAATACTTTTTTCCCTCACTGTATATGCAAATTGCCATCATCAAAACTGAGGCAGCAGACTTTGTGAAAATTAGTATTTGTGTCATTCTCAAAACGTTTGACCACGACACAATACCCAATAATGACAAAGCAAAAACAGGTTTCCAAATTTTTGGGCAAATTTATAAAAACTAAAAAACTGAAATATCACATTTACATAAGTATTCAGACTCTTTATTCAGTACTTTGTTAAAGCACCTTTGGCAGCGATTACAGCCTCGAGTCTTCTTGGGTATGACGCTATAAGCTTGGCACACCTGTATTTGGAGAGTTTCTCCCATTCTTCTCTGTAGAACCTCTCAAGCTCTGTCAGGTTGGATCGGGTTGAAGTCCGAGCTCTGGCTGGGCCACTCAAGGACTTTCAGAGACCTGTCCCGAAGCCACTCCTGCGTTGTCTTGGCTGTGTGCTTAGGGTCATTGTCCTGTTGGAAGGTGAACCTTCACCCCAGTCTGAGGTCCTGAGTGCTCTGGAGCAGGTTTTCATCAAGGATCTCTCTGTACTTTGCTCTGTTCATCTGCCTCGATCCTGACTAGTCTCCCAGTCCCTGCCGCTGAAAAACATCCCCACAGCATGATGCTGCCACCACCATGCTTCACCATAGGGATGGTGCCAGGTTTCCTCCAAACGTGACGCTTGGCATTCAGGCCAAAGAGTTCAATCTTGGTTTCATCAGACCAGATAATCTTGTTTCTCATGGTCTGAGAGTCTTTAGGTGCCTTTTGGCAAACTCCAAGCGGGCTGTCATGTGCCTTTTACTGAGGAGTGGCTTCCGTCTGGCCACTCTATTATAAAAGCCTGATTGGTGGAGTGCTGCAGAACAGGTTGTCCTTCTGGAAGGTTCTCCCATCTCCACAGAGGCACTCTAGAACTCTGTCAGAGTGACCATCGGGATCTTGGTCACCTCCCTGACCAAGGCCCTTCTCCCCCGATTGCACAGTTTGGCCGGGCGGCCAGCTCTAGGAAGAGTCTTGGTGGTTCCAAAATTCTTCCATTGAAGTATGATGGAGGCCACTGTGTTCTTGGGGAACTTCAATGCTGCAGACATTTTTTGGTACCCTTCCCCAGATCTGTGCCTTGACACAATCTTATCTCGGAGCTCTACGGACAATTCGTTCAACCTCATAGCTTGGTTTTAGCTCTGACATGCACTGTCAACTGTGGGACCTTATATTGACAGGTGTATGCATTTCCAAATGTCCGATCAATTGAATTTACCACAGGTGGACTCCAATCAAATTGTAGAAACATCTCAAGGATGATCAATGGAAACAGGATGCACCTGAGCTCAATTTCGAGTCTCATAGCAAAGGGTCTGAATACTTATGTAAATAAGGTATTTCAAAAATTTCTAAAAACCTGTTTTCTCTTTGTCATTATGGGGTATTGTGTGTAGATTTTGAGGAAATTGGTTTACTTAATCAATTTTAGAATAAGGCTGTAACAAAATGTGGAAAAGGTCAAGGGGCCTGAATACTTTCTGAAGGCACTGTATATACATATACTAAAAATGTATGTATGCACTCACAGTCTGTAAAGTCAACTTGTATAAAAGCTTCTGCTAAGTGGTATATATATTATAGGCAGATGATGAGGTAGGTAGATGGTGAGGTGTAGCCCTGCATACTCTACCTCTGCCTGCCCTGCTGTCTGGCTGCCTTGCAGGGGAATATTATATTATAGGCAGTGGATGAGGCAGCGTGGATGAGGTAGAAAGATTGTATGGCAAGGTGTATCCCGGCATACTCTACCTCTGCCTGCCCTCTGGTCTCACGGCTCAGCTGGGTATCTATGAACCCTCCAGGGGGCATATATTATTATAGGTTGGTTGTTGAGATAGGTGTAGCATACTGTACTAGCTGTTGTAGGTACTGTATATGGTGAGGTGTGTCATACTGTACTGTACCTCAGTCTGGTTGTTCTGGCCTAGCCTGGTATCTATGAACCCTCCGGAGGGTGGCATCTTGCCGGGGATGTTGTTGTAGTATGGATGCTCAGCAGGCTCCTCTTCCTCCTCCGTCCATATGGACTCCTCCATATTTAGAATCCTGTTATCACACCACGAAGACAGAGCAGTGTTAACACAGCAGTGTTAATACACTGCTCACATGACTCACTTCATAGAGCCCCTTCCTACAAATATTCTTAGTACTTTTGTCTAATTTGGTTGTCTCTAAGGTGTTTCCTTTGTGAAATTGTGTGCAAGTGTGTGCACAAACACCTTTATTTCTCTAGGAGATGTGTCTTGATTCACGATTTTAAGTACCATACATGAAATGGCTTTAGAATATTTATTGAGGTCATTGAATGGATGTGAGAATGAGGATTCAGTGGGGAAATGAGAATGGACCGGATAAAGCCATGGGCTGCAGATGAAGGATCCGGAGGGGTTGACTCTGTAGGGTTTGGCTTGGAGTCTTAGGTAGACATCACAGTCAGGTTGTGATAGTTAGGCTGCTGTGGTGAAGGCAATCCCTAAAAAAGAGAACTCCAAGTTAGTCGGACCCTGGAGAGGAAGTGAGCCGTTATGGACAGCAGGTGCGATATAGTTGAGGTAGTACAGGCATACGGATGAGATGCCCATGGAGTGAACCAACCTTAGACCCCAGGAGAGCAAGCAGTAGCGATAGTGGCAAGTAAAAAACTCCTTTGAAGGAAGAAAATCTTGAGAGGAACCAGACTCAGCTGGGGAGCCAATCCTCTTTTGTCTGGTTGGTAAGATACGGTGTGTGAGGTAGATGGTATCCGTGAAATGAGGCAGAGACTTGAGGACTGTGCCTGAGTTAATGCAGGTTCTGAGAGATGAGCATGTTGTGGCCTGTCCTGACGTTGTTGATGTCAGAGCGTATGAAGGAATGATAGGCTTGAGAGGACCAGCGGCCGAAGGAGTTGTACAGTGAAGTCAGGGATGCAGTGTCGGGATGCCATGGAGGCGGCTCCGAAGCAGAAGGAGTGTCCGGAGAACTGGTCAGCAGGATAGCTGTACAGGGGTAGTATTTTTCTCCGATGGGAATGGAACCATTGGCGAGAGGTGATGGAACCAGAATCGGTGATGAATAGTGGATCGGATGGAGAGGCATGTTGAGATTGTCTGAGCTGCAGGAAGTAGGTAAGTGGTTCGTAAGGGCTGAGGGTAGATGGTAGCTGGAACAGGTAGACTGGTGTGGTTCTGCCAAACTGATCGGTTTTGGTGTGTTTGATGGTGAAGATGAGGGTATCTTTGTCGAGGATGGTGACGTCTGACACGCAGCAATGACGAGAAGGGTTGTAGATAGCAGATGAGGATGTAAACTCTGAACATCTCAGGAATCCAAAAATAGCAAAAGAACCATTGATTCTAGTGTGGAAGAGACTGCGATGGAGATAGCCAGACCGCAGCATCTGGTTGCAGGCAGACAGGATGTTAAGTGTGATGGGTTGGCAGTGAGGGGGTGATTGACTTCGGTGCGTTGGAGGCCCATGAGCAGAAGGGAGACTTGTGGGTGAAAGGAGGAAGAACATGGAGACCCAGTAAGCAACTTGAGAAAGAAGTTGATCCCGGCCAGGTACGTCTGGATGGAGGATGTCAGCATGGAGAAAGATGAGTTGGCATGAGTGATGAAGGCAGACATGGTAACCAAGTAGTTGGAGGGAAAAGGCAGGTGATAGATGATATGGAAACGCTGGAAGAATCTCCAGGCTGTCCAGTAAGAGGACAGGGTGCAATGGCTGATAGGATGGAGTGGTGTGACTGGGAGATGAGGCGAAGGAGTGGATGGTTCACAAGAAGGTCATCATGGAATAAGGAGGGACTGGGGTTGGTAGGGGTTCTGCATACGGGGCCAAGCGCCTGAATCTCTGAAATTGGAGACGCGACAGAGAATCAGCGATTGACACACTCTTCATAGAAAAAGGTGACACCGTTCCAATGACCGAGGAGAAGGTGCAGAAGCCTGCGCTCCGAGAGGCATGAGGGTCAAAAACCATGGTGTGAAGCTAGGAAGGCACGGAGGCGGCCAGGGAGAGAAGGTGGGAGAGGAAGAAGCGGCCTTGAGGGATGATCCTGATGGAATAATTCAGGTGGCCCAGCAGCGAAAGTAGCTGACAATTAGTGCAGTGGGGAGATTCCAAATAATTGGACAGGAGGAGGGAAATGCGCTAAAGACAAGAGGGATGGGGGGATGGGAGGACACACAGAGAGTGATGGAAGGCTCTTGGCAGGGGGTGGAGCCATGGCATCCAGGATGTTTACGGCTGCATCTGGGCGAAAGCCGTGTGCTTACCCCCAAGGAGCCCACGTACAGATGGAACAGCTTGGCCTTGTTGTCATTACGATGCAACGGGATCCCTCTTTCCCTGAGTTTCTTCTGTAGCCTGGAAACAGTCTAGTCCGACAGCACTGGAGGTCTGGATTTGGATGGCTCTGAGATGGAAGCAGGAGCAGAGGGGAGAGGTTCTGTAGATCGGCGGGATGGTGGGGGCCCGAGCCATTCCTGCCTGCGGGGAGGGGCGGCTGGTAAGCTCCGGCGGGCAGGACGGTAAGAGGCCGGCCTCGACATTCCGGTTGTTTGTGAGGCCTGAAACGGTGGTGGGGCACAGAGACAACGGACTGCAGCCGCCTGGTTAGAGGTGGTGTGTCCCTGACAATGGAGAGGGAGAGTCTGGAACTTGGTCTGAAAACATTTCAGAATCCGAGGCGGTGAGAACAATCTCCATTGTAAACTAAGTAGGGCCGACCACATTTAGTCAACTGGTCGATTGTTTGGTCGATATGCTGTTGGTCGACCAAGATTTCTTTAGTCGAGCGGTCGCAAATATATATATTTTTTCATGGTGCACAAAACACCTGCCTGGTTTGTCCTGTCTCAGTGGACTAATACATTGCGGAGGCCACAGGGATGGCACATTCCATCACTCTAAGACACTGAAATTGTATATGATCAAATAAAATAAAATTGTATTTGTCACGTGCCGAATACAACTGGTGTAGAATCTACGGTGAAATGCTTGCTGACGAGCTCTTCCCAACAATGCAGAGTAAAACAAATATGTATAATAATAATAGTAACACAAGAGGAATAAAAAAAATACATAGGAATGGAGCTACAGTGCATTCGGAAAGTATTCAGACCCCTTGACTTTTTCCACATTTTGTTACGTTACAGCCTTATTCTAAAATTTATTAAATAGTTTTTTTCCCTCATCAATCTACGCACAATATCCCATAATGACAAAGCAAAAACAGGTTAAGACATTTTTGCAAATGTATATATATATATTTTTTTTTATAATGAAATATCACATTTACATAAGTATTCAGACCCTTTGCTATGAGACTCGACATTTAGCTCAGGTGCATCCTGTTTCCATTGATCATCCTTGAGATGTTTTTACAACTTGAATGGAGTCCACCTGTGGTAAATCCAGAATGAATCTAGTACTGAAAGCATAAGCTACAGCTAGCTAGCACTGCAGTTGATAAAATGTGGTGATATATATATAGTCTAGTTAGTGTGCGTAGGGTCAGTGCAAGAGAGTCAGTGCAGATAGTTCGGCTACCATTAATTGACTATTTAGCAGTCTTATAGCTTGGGGGTAGGAGCTGTCTTGGAACCTGTTGGTTCAAGAGCCGATGCTCCTGTACCGTTTTCAGGACAGTAACAGAGTGAACAGTCTATGGCTTGGGTGGTTGGAGTCTTTGGCAATTTTTCGGGCCTTCCTCTGACACAGCCTGATATAGAGGACCTGGATGGCAGGGAGCTTGGCCCCAGTGATATCCTGGGCTGTCTGCACCACCCTCTGTAGCGCTTTGCGGTCAAGGGCGGTGCATTTGCCATACCAAGCGGTGATGCAGCCAGTCAAGAAACTCTCGATGGTGCAGCTGTATAACTTTTTGAGCATCCGAAGTCCCATGGCAAATATTTTCAGGCTCCTGAGGGGGAAAAGTCGCTGCCATTCCCTCTTCACGACTGTGTAGGTGTGTGGACCATGTTAGGTCCTTAATGATCTGGACGCCAAGGAACTTGAAGCTCTCGACCCTCTCCAGCCCTGTCGAAGTGGATGGGGGCATGCTCTCCCCTCTTTTTCCTATAGTCCATGATCAGCTCCTTGGTCTTACTGACGTTGAGGGAGAGGTTGTTGTCCTGGCACCACACTGCGAAGTCTCTGACCTCCTGCCAGTAGGCTGACTCATCACCGTCGGTGATCAGGCCTACCAGAATCAGATCAACTTTATTATCCCACCAGGGGGAAATTCATTTGGTCATGACTCGTGCTTAAAAAGACGGTACATAAAACATAACACAGAAACTACACAATATAATTCATTCAAAGTGCTACAGCTACACATTTAAAGTGAAAGTGCAATATGCTGTATACTCAAGGGACCAACAGACTATCTATTATACAGCCTAATGGCTGTTGGAATAAAAGAGTCCCCATATATATCTGTTTTAAATTTCCCCTTGTCTGGCTGCTGCTATGACTGAATTTTGAGTGAAGAGGATGAGTACTGTCCTGTAAAATGCTTTCAAGTTTTAGGAGGATGAGTTTTGTGTTCAGCTTGGTGGCTGATTCTTGATCTATACCAATTATTCTTCCCGCAGTCTTAGTCAAATTCTGAAGCTTGACTTGGTCTTGCACTCGCATGTTTCCAAACATGCATATCAGACCAAAAGACAGCACACTCTGCAGGACAGATTTATAGAACATTTGTGAGATATGGCGGTCGACATGAAAATGGTTGTTTGCGTAAAAAAAACATTCTCTGTTGCAATTTCTTTATCTTTGCAAAGGCACAGTCATTGAATTTCAGTTTATTGTCTATTTCAATTCCCAGGTACTTATATGTGGTCACTATCGACTGATTCCCCATTGATCTTCGTAGGAGTTAGTGGAGTTTTGTTCTTTCTGAAATCAATTTCCATCTCTTTGTTTTCTTAATGTTTATTTCAAGAAAGTTACCTGCACATCACTGGATGAATTTAGCCGTTTCTCTGTCAAAACCTTGACGAGAGGCTTGGTCTGGGTGGAGGAAACCTACAAAAGCTGTGTTATCTGCATATTTTAAAAATGTG